TCAAATTCGTATATTTGTTTAACAAACTAAATTCCTCAATATTCCCTCCCCTCAAATGGCGAGCACTATCCAGTATAGGCGTTGGCGAATACTAAGGCCGGAAGCGGTGGTCACTTTATTACAGAAGCACCTAATAGGTGGTCAGCATTGCCTAATATGAAGGGATAAACAATTTATATCCATGGCTTTCTTCGGGATTCGAACTCGGGCTCTTCGGTACGGTAGTCAGAATTACTAACCATTTTCCCGTCTGTGCGGCAAATTCCCCGATGTTACTCTATCATTTTGTCTATAAAAAAGTTGAGAGAAAAGATAGAGCTTGAGCAACAGAGAGAAGTCATAAGGAAAAAAAAATTACTTTTTTATGAGATTGTAGTCATTATATAACACATACAATGGACAAGTGTATTTACAATGCAAGCAGTATGTTGCTAGTTGTCGCCTTAGCGTATAAGCAAAGTATATTAAAGTAATTTAATCGACTATTTCCCAGCCATTTGTTTTCCTTTTGTCTTTGTCATGGACAGGGCCTCACTTCTGCTCATTAACTAGAATTGGCCATTTTCCAGAATTCCTTTAAGACAAGAACCATCAGGTCAAATGAGGGTTCATTCTAGAGGACGTCTTGACATTTCATTACATACTTCTTGCTGATCTGCGGCATGGTTAGTATTATTTCGGGCAAAGGCAATCAAACTTCTTTTAAGTTAGTGCTTCTTTTAGATGCCGTAACAAAGAAAAACATGAATGTGATGAAGACACATCCCCAGAAATTTAAAGGGAGGTTTTATCTTCTAAAACCGTAAAGCAAGCCTGTTTATAAAACTTTAACCAATATATTAATTTTGATTAATTTTGTTCAAATTTTACTTCAGCATTAATATCTACTGTAACTGCAGAGACTACCATTGAGATAAATACCACTTATATTATTTCTATGATTCAAGGGATTAAAATCCCACTCAGCTTTGTCATACAAACTCTGCCAGCTAGTGATCGAGTGGATAAAATCGCTGAATACAAGTAATTCATCTAGGATTCGAATCCCGGCAAACAAGATGGTTGAATGGACTCTTTTGCGGGTTTCGAGCTAGTTTTAAAAAAGCCGTCCATGAAGGTGTTCTTTCCCTTTAGGCAGGAAACTCTCACGCACTTTGCCACATTCAGTTAAGTAAACAGCATCTTTATTCACAATGGAATCAAAAAAACACGTCTTGAGTAAAATATTAGGTTGTTTTATGATAAAAAAAATCAAATATCCCGTGTTAAGTATTTACAATAAATAATACGAATAACAATAATATGTAACATTTTTATATAAACTGTTTCCAAACTATAGCTACAGGCATTATTTTTTTAAATGCTCAGTCTCGGCATGTTCTTCCAACTGCAATATATTTTCAAAATAAGATAGGTTTGGTTTATTTAATTACGACAAAACACACAAGGGCTGTCTGCCTAAGGGAAGGGATGCCTTCGCGGAAGACTTTCTAAAGGAAACTGACTCGTATACACGTTTCACAGGGGAAAACCACGGAAAGGCCATGCAGCCAGCCCGTTCGTCGGGATTCGAGCCCCGGACCGAACTACCAGTGTTCAGCGACTTTACCGCTTGGCCGCGAGTGGGGAAAAATAAGATAGAAAATTATATAAGAACTTTTCGTGAGTACAGGATAGTTTGATAAATACCAAATCTAATTTTTTAGATAGCTCTCATTATGGCCCAGTTAAAAAAACCCAGTTAAAAATATTTATTCAGTTTTACTCAGTTAATTGTCAAATGTTCCGTAGCTTTGCTTTCAGAATTCGCAGAGATATTTGCAATTAATATTTTATCTGGAAACTACGAATGTAATAATTATTGCTATTATGTAACACCTGTAAGTGCCTAAACGAACAACTTTTGGTTTAAGAAAAATTTTACATAATACTTAATTTCAGTTAAAAATATGAATTGAAAAGTAATCTAAGTAAACAAATGTGTTTTCAGATATAACCCCAGTTTTGTACATGGGGCATTTTGAAATACACTTATTAAAATATAATGCATACTTCACAAACCGAAATGTTTGCTCTATGAGGAGCCATAAAAAAATATTAGATTTTACATTTACGAACTTTGTCGACCCCATAGCTTCGAAACTGCTCTCATAAAATTTTTTATCTATTCTGAGAAGCAGTGTAATTCTGAAGTTCACTATAAACATAAAAATAGACACATTCAAAAAATAAATAAACCGATTACAATAACACTTCGCATGCAAATAAATATCTTTCGAAATTAATGTGCAAATGATTAAGATTTTATGGCTATTAAATTAATAGTCAGAGTTCCAGCGCATTAGGACCGAACATTCTGAAGGTGTATTTTAGTGAGAGAAATTGGATATCATGAGCAAAACGCCCATTAGATTCTGATTGTGGCTTTCCTCCTCGTCTGTAACTTTGCCTCTCCCGACCCATCGCCGACAAGTTCATTTAGCTGCCAACAAATTTAGTCCAGACGTACATTTAGATGAGAGTTTTAATAAAAAGTTTGTGTAAGTTTTTATAAGTGTTTAAAAAAATATTCCATAAGTACCCAACCAAAGACTGTTTCCGGGATATTTAAGGAGAACGTTTATGGATAAGACCACACTTTTGCCTTTATTTAACGCTAAATATAGTAAAATTGATTCATGACATAGTTTATAAGTCACAAAACGAGTTAAAAAGGATTCAGTAAATGGAATAAAAGCAGAAACATAGTTTAAAATGAAATGTAGCCGATATTAAATTTTGCGATATGTACACTTACATAAATTTCAGCTATTTATAAAATTTTTCATACTTCAGAATAGTCTCTTTTTTAATATGTTTCATATAGTGAGAAGAGGTGACATAAACCGGACTATACTAAAATATTTACGAGGAACTGCTCATAATATTTACTTTTCATCTATTTTAATATTTGCCGCGAAATTTCTACATTCGAATACAGGTTTGACACTTTTTTCATACTTTCAACTTCATCTGTGGGAATCGATAAGTTTTCTTACGAAAATAATAAAATTTAAACGGAAAAATTGATTGGTGCATCTTTCAGATGTTTCACTAATTGATCTTCTAATCAAAATCTGTAGAACATCATAGCAAATTAATAGAAATTCTCCGAAGTATTATTCATAAGACTAATTCAAATTCCACATCATTGCAAATATCATGGGTATTCAGTTAAATACGTCATCAATCGAAAAAGTTTGAGAAACATTGATCAGTGACTACTGGGTAAGTCTACCTAAATTACTACTGGTTACAAGATCTTGAGTTGGCAATTAAACTGATTTAAACTGCATTACAGTTCTTACCATTGTTCTTGCAAGCTGCAGTCACCTTGAGTTGGGATTTAAGTTTGGTCTTCAAGCAGTAGAACCAAATAATACATTTTGGAAGCTGACCTTCTGAGTTTATTAATGAAGAACTACGCTGTAGGCAAAACTCACTAATGACCAAAAAGATCTTGACACAAAATTAGAAACTCGCAAGTTAAGAATTTAGAAAAGGTTAGAATGTTACGTTCTGGTGTTATTAATAACCTTTAATGAGATATTAATATTAATGAAATTTATTACATATTTAAAAGAAGTGATTCAAGAGTTAACTTTTAAAAGAAAATTAAATTAAATTATTCGGTATTAATTATTAAGTAATAAACGGCGTAATTTATGCATTTTTTTTTTTTTTTTTGGTTTTATTCGTTTGCCTTACACAAACACAGTTTGTTCGAAATTTTACATTAATTCCAAAATATTGTTACGAATTTTATACTTAGGTAATTTTAGTAGAATTATAAGTAAAATTGTAGAAGAATTATAAGTAATTTTAGTAGAATTATAAGTAAAATTGTAGCAGAATTATAAGTAATTTTAGTAGATATATAAGTAAAATTGTTGTATTTCTTTTGTAACATGAAAACTGTAAAGAGCAGCTATGCCGGAAAAATAAGAATACAGGGGCAAGTGCATATAACACTGAGTAAATGGGTATCTCGGTAATTTGTCGAGAAATCGCCAAATTTGGCGACATTTTGGTCGGTCTTTGTATCACCAAAATATGTATTGAAATTAAATAAATGTAATACACCGCTACGTTAGCCGTAACCGTAATCCCACCCTCATATTGTTTTCCGGTAATTTTGAGAAGCAGAAAGTAATAGAAATATCTCGACAGCCGGTTGAAAACTATTTAACTCTCCCCAAGAGAGAGCATTTGCTCTCAGTTGCTTAGTTATTCTTGGAGTCGTTACTTCCACGTGAACTGAGATATCTGAGTCAGCTTTCTCTTTAGATGCCTTTTGCATTGCCTTGCGTTTAGCATTATTAGTAGTTTGAAGTGTAACTATTGATTATACTGTGAACATTCGTACGAATATTTCTGAGGAAAATTCCAGAGCTCTGAAATATTTCTTCTGATAAAAAAAAAGTATTAATCTATAATCGGACCTGTAAGCATTCAATCTATTACGAACCCGTACGCACGCAACAACATTGAGTAAGCAATGAAAATTTATTTTTTTCTTCTGATTAATGACTGCAAGAAAATTTATTCATGATATAATAAGAAAATATGTGCAGAACAATTATTGAATAATTGTACGCTTTAGTAAAGGCTACACTCCTCTTTGTCAACAGCCAAGTGAGTAAATGGTGTCTTAATAAAAGAAGCTTATGGTTTAACCCCAGACGTCGACTAAAGATGTCTCCACACATCAAAAAGAAAGAAATACTTTGGTGTTTAAATGTAAATAATGACTCGCAGTTCAGGGACTGCTCAGTTCTCTTCAACAGCTTTATACGTACATAGTTTGCTAGGAAAGTATACTGTGGTTTCACGATAGTAAATTTTGGATTCAAATGTTATAGAAATATGTGTATATTTAATCGAAACAGGAAACCTGCAGGCCCCCCATGATATTCGTAAAATTACAGGCAAAAAGAGGGTAGAAAAAATGAGAAAGTCAATTTTATTACAAAAACTAAATAGTCACTTTATTAACAAAGTATCCAATTACAATCCTTTCTTAGACAATTTTACGAGTATTTTACTGACAGGTCGATAGTAGAGATCTACAGCTGATAGAATCGCAATTTGTACGATTTCGAAATGCATACTTTCCGGTTTCAAAATTACAAAAATGTACTTTTCACATTCACAGTTTACAAAGCATGACATCAGAACGATTATATCAGTACATTATATAAGCTATCCCGTGCACCACAAGTGTAGGGTCGGTTCTGAGACCGATTATGGTATGGAAGTAATGCCTGGTTCCCGTAATGAAAATCTATCCAATCAATAGGATATGTTCATCAACTCTTTATTCAATTCAAGACTAAACGTAATTGCAATTTCATATTTCCAGTAATATTCAACACGGAACAATAGAAGGAAATATTTCCACACATACACTATTCGAGACAAAAGGCTATAAAATAGTTTTAAACGAAATCTGTCACGGAAATGCACCCGAAAAATAGTTCATTATCCCAGAAAGTCATTAATAATAGTTGCAGTACTTCTTACAAAGGATTGCGTGCAATGAATTCTCCTATAGATTACAGAAAATAAAATTAAGTGCCCAAAGAGCGAGTGTCCATGAATCGTTTAATAATCTAATAAAGTCGACATTTGAAAAAAGATATCAAGCGTATAGTATATGGTATGTAAAACAAAATGAAAGGATTTGCGCTGATTTACAAAAATTAAAAAAACATAAAAATGGTTTTTGCTTCGTTAATGATCAAGATAATTCACAAATATGCCAAAAGGAGGATTAGCATTCTTGTAGTCAATACATACAGAAAACAGCTATTCGTTACACTGTATCAATATAAGAAAGCCTTTCCGGAATTTCATATTTGATTAACTAAATAAAACTATTATCTCTGAAAAATGAAACAGCTTTCCTTTCTGGATTAACTTCAAGAAAAATTCTGCTATTATCATATTACCTCGGTTCTGTTTTTCTCCTTGCCTAAAATGCCCATCTGAAAATTATATCCTTTTTATACGTGCAGCCTAACATTAGATATTATATGAAGCTAATTTCTCATTTACGCTTTAATTTGTACGCTAAAAAGGAAACGTATTTCCTCATAAAAAACTCATATCACAACGGTTTCCTTTACGCAAGCAAGTTTATTTCCTTTCAAATACTTTCAAACATGCAGATTACGCGTGATGCCATATTATACTTAGGTTAAGACGGTTCTTAGAGCTGAAGATTTATTGTCCTTTATCTAAACGTTCTTCATATAATTACTTAATATGAGCCTGACTGCTCAAGCCAACATGCAAATGATAATACTAATGTTCGAATTATCTTACGACAACAAAATAAGAAACGAAAACAGCGCACATGAAAAGTAGCCTAAAGTTGTTTCAGTAAGAATTAAACCGAGATGTTAGTCACGAAATTTTACAATGATCGCGCAAATAAATTTGCCACGAATCTTTAGTTTAGTAATCCAGACAGAAAAATTACACATATTTCATAGTTAAGAGCTAAGCCTAATATTAACCGTGGTTATTTCGTTTTGGATTATTCATAAACATTAGCAATGATAAATTGATACTAAACAAGCATATGTACTTATGAGGCTTAATTTTCATTCTCAAGCATTTCTATGCGTTATCTGTGAAGAATAATGAGATGCAAAGCCTGGAAAATAATTACAGCGGAACAATCCGAAGATTAAAACTTCTGTTACAGCATGAAAAGTTGAGTTTTCAAATTAATACAAACAGGTCTGCAATGAATGTTACTAAAACGTAAAATGGGAATTATTAACCATGCAAATTCTGGTGCAACATCAACTCAGAGGCTTGAATTCAGCTAACTAAATAACAAGCTAATAGACAGCTAAAAATTTCATAATAAGTACCAGACACGATATTTCATAGCAACTGGCTATGTTTAATTATAACTGACCTTTTCTTTTTTTCAAATTAAAGTAAATTACTGTATTTCAAATTAAAGAAATATAAATTCCTATAACTTAGGTTACTTTCAAACATGCAATATTATTATTTATTATAGCTAAAACTTCATAGTTAGGTCAGAAGGCTTATTATAACAAAGGATATTTTTTTTAATTTTGAGCACAAATTTTTAAACGAATACTAAAAATTAACTTTTGCCTTCTTAAAAATTTGGTAATTTTCCTGATGCAATTTTTAAGACTAAAATAAAAAATCACAACAGAATAAAGAACAGTTTTCTCTATCTAAATTTATTTTAAAAAAGTATTTTTTTACTATAAATGACTAAAATCGCATGCATTTCTTATGACTTTTCCTTCATAAATTAACCACTTCATTCAACTTTGAAATCTTAGCTTAAATGCTTAAGGTTAAAAAAAAACGCAAGAAACATTTATTCCATCAATTATATGCTTATTGACACGAATCAAAATTCAGAAAATATTCAATATATAGAAATCTAGCCTTAACCAAAGTAAAAATTACACGTTTTTAACATTCCGTACTCTAAACTGGCAAATAAATTCTGGAATCAGGACCATGAAACTGGAACTATGAAATCGCAAGAACTTACATAAATGTTACGTGTCCTTAAAATGATCTTAAATAATTTGAAATAAATATGTAAACACAGAAACTCTTATTTCAGTTCTGAGAAGACGGGAACCAGACAAATCAATATAAATACGTATTACAATATACAAAGCAACATGAAATTCTACGCAATTCAAATATTAAAACACGGACTAGGCTTATCTAGAATATAAATTATTCGCCATCTTTGAATAATCAGCTGAAATGCAACTTTAACAGGAAAGCATTTTCTATATTTCAGTTAACTTACGATATATCAAAATTCATGCTACAGCTCACGTCAGCTTCACTAGATCAAGATATTTTGCTACTATTAATGCCCTTGTTATAGTGCAGGCAAATTCTTGCAAGATTTCACTTACCATATCTTCTTTAGTTGACATTTATCAGGTTAGGAAATTGATAGAACACCCGACAATGTGTGAATCATCATATATAGCTCGTTTTAAATGTATGGAAAAATCATGTTTTAGGAAGGCGCTTTGGAAAGACAGATTCAGTATTCGTTAGAAATATTCTAAACGTAACCTTTTGATTTAGATTTACAGAAATAATAGAAATAAGTTTTAACAATTTTATTTTTATTGAGGCTCGTGTTAGAGATGGCTGTCAAAAGGCAGTTTATTCATTTCTTTTTGTCATTAAATATTTATTTCCAAATGAAACTAAGTTAATTAATTTGGTGGAGGTCTTATTTATAAAATTAAAAATATATTTCCAAATGAAACTAAGTTAATTAATTTGGTAGAAGTCTTATTTATAAAAGTATTTATACCTGGAATGCGTTCCAAGGAAATATCGAGGATTAAACGTCGAAAAACTTCAGAAGGGGGTTCTTATCTTCAGAAGGGGGGGAGAAGACGCTCTTCGCTAAACTAATACTCATGTCAGACTAATGTCATATAAAATATTAACCACATAATTAGAATTCTTTGACTTAAAATGCATTATATATATTACAATGTATTTTTGACTCAAAACCGTGATTTTCCAGTTAGTGTTTTGACATTTAACTCTCACTGTATACAAGAATAATTTAAACTACAACCACCTGCTTTTTACTAAATAAAATTTTAAATCAAATATATGTGATTGCTCTTTGGCATATGAGATGTGTTGCCTTTCTATTTTCTTATGGCAAAATTTCGCAATTTCTCAAAGGAAAGGATATGGAGATTGCAAACAATTTCTAAATACAAAACAAAACGTGTATGAGCAATTAGCGCAGTATATGTACAAACATTTCCATACAATAAATTTATAACTGTAAAATATATCAATTCCCTCATTCTGAATTCTTAAAATTATTTTTAATAAAAAGTCACAACAGAATATAGAACAGTTTTCTCAATCTAAATTTATAAAAGAAAAAAAGTATTTTTTTACTATAAATGACTAAAATTGCATGCATTCCTTATGACATTTCCTTAACAAATGCAAACTCCTTCCTGATAAATACAGAATGGGTATTACTTCACAATTTAACTTAATTGAAACGATAAACGATGAAGAAACAACAGCCTACGTACATCACTAAACACATAAATCAAATAGGAGTACTTATACATAGGAGCCACCTATGCAAGTGACCTAGGTAGCTTATTTTACTATGGCAAAGCACGAAGACTATTTTCAAAGGATAGGGATGCATTCGTGGAGGACGTTTTAAGGAAACTGGCTGGTATTCACCTGTGCAAGTAGCACAATGGATCGTGAAACTTGGTCTGATAAATTATTGGTCTTCGCTAAAACTGTGTGTAATTCAAATAGTTCAAACTCAATCGGTTTCAACGAAATGGTTATTTACACACATCGCTAGAAAAGGAAATGCAGTGTTCAGATTATGCACGTCACCGATTTAATGAAAAACGTTTTAGCAATCGATTTTTCTTCAGCTGAAACTGAAGTTTTCTTCAGCTGAAAACTGTCAAGCTATTGGGGTTAGGTTCGTCATAAGTATATTTTCTTGGACCACTTAATGTTAAAATAATTTAAATATTTGAAAATTTAAAAAAGAATAATTAAAAAATGTTTTTTTTTTCCACGTCACCCATCAGCAGCAGAGTGAAGAAAATTTTCAGTACAGACAAAATATTCTCAATCTCATAAAGTCTTGAAAACCTAACTAAATTAATAAATGCAAGAATATACTTTCAGTTTGTACATACACCGCAAATTTGTTAATGAGATTACTATAAAGTATTATTTAAATTAAATGCGAAATACTTAAAGACTTCTTTATAAAGAATTCTTAAAGTACTTTTTTTTCCTATAAAATTTAGAATAGCTAAAGTATTCAATGTTCGCAGATTTTATATATATATTACACCTGAAATATTGCTTTACATTTGAATAACGATTCTTGGACAACATCTTCTCCTCACTAACACTTCTTACATTCCAAATTACAATTAATCCCAAAATGTCATAACCATATTTCGAAATTTATCAAAGTTTTCGTATACGACTATTTAGAAGATATGGGATGAAATATAGCTTCAGAACTGACGTAGCGCAAGCAGTATATATAATAAAGCATGAGTTAAATTAATGTCATTACTTCGGATGCATGGCTGAGTCTTCCAGAATTTATCGCGTAATTTAAATCTCACATTCCACGAATCATATATAACATATATGACTTTGACCAATGTTTAAAAAAACATAATTAAAGCTGAATCTGTTTACAGGATGTTAAAGTTCTGACAGCAGATTGCAGACCTTTAATATTAGATCACATTTCATTAAGTTAATGCAAGACTGCGTCTAAAAGGCAGTATACTCAGAATTTCATTAAACACACGTGAGGGTATTTAAAATTTTGATTATAATTTATTCTCCATGGAAATGAAAATATTTATTTGTTCATCAAAGAGATAATAAAATTATGCGTGAACTAGTTACTGGCATTACTTTCAACTGGTTTTAACTCCTTTTAACCGCTGGTTCACAAACAACTTGATTTTATTCGGTTTTAAGTTTATAGATGTATTTCTTGCTACAGTGAATAGATTCGGTACAAAATCTTCATATTCTACACTGATCTTGAATAACTTTTCTTGGAATGGTATACATCAATAACTGAAAATTCTCCATGTACATAATAAATATGTAAAAATGAAATGTCTTTCAAAATGCTTAAAGTTATCTCTAACATAATATCAGTACTACCATTCATTAAGAAATGCTGCTAAAGAGTATATATTTTACTTCGTAAATTACACATATTTACTGTGTTGAAAATTCCGTATGAAAATATCAGATTTAGAATAGGCATACCTAGTAATTATTTTAAATTATAGGAAGTAATTCGAGTAAGCTTAACACATTTAACAGCCTTTCTCTATACATAGAATTAAAGCTCTAATATAGTTATCTAAATAGGTTATAAAATTTAACATTTTATTAAAGTTTTAGTATATGATAAATGGAAAGGGAATAGATTTTGGGTGCTAAAAAGAAGATTAAAAATTTTGGACGTTGATATGTTATAATATACTTGAGAAATGGGGATGAATAGCAACCCGCATTATTCACAATTCCTCAACAGATTTTTCAGCAATATTATAGAGCAGTAATAACTATTCAATTTCAATACTAACATGTCACACACAGATGCAAAAACGTTTTTCCAAATCTGAAGAGGAAGTACATTATTGAACTAATAATATCAGTTTTGTTATCTGAGAAATAAAAATTTATTTTGCACAACTTATATTCTGTTGCAAGTGAATGTTAGTACCGGTAATTAAGTTTACTTTCATATACATTTCCAAATTTAATAATATTAAAAGAAGTACTCAAATTTCCAGTGGGATAATTTTTCCGTAAATGAAACTATGCTGACATACATTTTGTACTGAAAGTTTAATTTTTGTAGAACTTTGTATAAAAACATGGAAATACAATTCTTGCCAAGAAATACATAATACAAACATGCAAATATTTTGACTGTAATGACCTTTAAACAACTTAACGAATGTTATTTCTAGAATGTTCTTTACTTCGTAATAAATACTATAATTATAATATACTTTCAGCTGATTACTGGCGAATCAAACACATGAAGCTATTTTACAGTGTCTTTCATTTGCATGCAGTACATCTCTTAGGAACTAGGATTTAAACTTTCAAATATCTAAAGCCATACTATATATTTATTTATGCAGCAATTTAAATAAAACACATTCTTTACAAGAAATTCCTCTAAAATTAATGTAAATGAAAGTACATAGCTCATAAATTTTATAAAATACAGTAATAATACAATTAATCACTCACAAACATGGGCATTTTTGAATACGTACTCATAGTTTTTCAGTATTTTAGGTAACTACATTTTTCACAAGCGATTCATTTAATTTCCTATATACAAATAAATGTACGAAAAATATTAAATTTTTTACATAAAATTAAAATTAATTATAATGACTGGGAATATTTGAGCCAGAAGTTTAATATATAATGTTGTTAAATTTCTGTCAAACCTAAAGAATTTCATTATTTTAATATTTCAGTGTAAATTTAAAGTTTCTTTCACAATTCTTTTTATGGCCCAATATGCTAGAAGACGTTTGCTGGGATAGAGGCTGCAGAACACATTATTTGGTTTCCAGCTACGTGCCAACTCATTATTACAACATTCATTATATAAATAAAACACAAAACAAAGCTAAGCAGCTTTTGGTATGCAAAATTCCTGCCATATGATGAAAAAATTCTTTTGTCAATACATATTTCTATCATAAATGAGTTTCTTTCTTAAAAGGCAGTGCATTAGCTTTGAGAGATTCTTCATACTGAGAGATGTGCTTGTTTTTTATTTGTCCAGAATGATTATTTACTGTTATACTAGTAGATTGTTTAACAGGGCTATTTTTCATGGGAGGAGTTGAGATAATATTGTTCCCTTTGTAGTTGGGGTTGGTAACTATTCCATTTCTACGTACACGTGGTTCTGTAGGCCTCGGTATAGGGTGACTGGAATCAACAGGGCCAGAACTACCAGATATCCGCCTAGGTAAATGAGACTGTTTACTGTTATTGGTTGACTCATGAACAATAGGGGGTATCACGATCGGTACATGAGTGGAATATGGTGCAAAAGGACCACCAGTTACGCCACCACCCTGAGGACTGGTAACTGGAACAGGTGAAAGTCTTTGACCTTGTATGTCACTTAAAGGGCTTTGTGGTGGACTTGGAACTGGGCTATGAGGTTCACTCAATGGTGAAAGTAGCCTACTTATACGATTTCTATTTCTGGTACACTGCTGCAATTGCTGAGTAAACGTCATAGTTGAGCCTCCTGTTTTGTTATTATGAATGGCTCTTGAACTTTGACTGTTTGAGTTAGATTCTTGGCTGATTTGTTGATGCCCTTGCTGCTGGGGCTGAGAATGGCCTTTAGAAGTCGACTTACTTGTCGAATTGGTCAAATTACTGGATGATTTAGATGATGATTGATTTGAGATGAAAGATCGTCTTTTGTCAACAGTCGATTCTGGAGATTCTACGGGTGAAGGAGCTACAACACCTGGTTGGCACAAAATGGCACTACATGGTTTTGTTTCAGCTGTAGATGCAGACGTCAGTGAGGTGGTACTGACACTACCAGAAAAATTATTAGCATTTCCTACTTCTTGCAAATGCGCTACGTATTCTTCTAGCAATCGAATGACATGATTGTGCCCTCCTTTCGACGCAACACGAATTGGGTTCCGTCCAAATTGATCGGCATGGCTAGGGTCAGCGCCATATTCTAATAATACCTTTACCACTTCTAAATGACCTTCTTGAGCTGCTATACACAAAGCAGTAGCTCCTTGATTGCACACATGATCGACAACAGCACTTCTTTCAACAAGAAGGCGAACCACACTTACATGTCCTTGCCAAGCTGCTGACTGCAGTGCAGTTCTGTAGTCATTGTCAACAGCATTTACATCTGCTCCATGATTTAAAAGGAGTTCCACCATGTCTGTATGTCCCTGCCACGCTGAAACGTGAAGTGCTGTGCGTCCTTCTAAATCACGAGCTTCAACATCTGCACCTCGTGCTAACAAGAACTCTGCCAGCTCCGTACGATTCTCTAGAGCCAAGAGATATAGAGTGGACCGTCCATCAGCATCTTTATAGTTTAAATCAGCGCCATGGTTTATAAGCAGCTGAACCTAAAAAAACAGCAAAATTGAAAAAAATTAAACATTATGAAAATAAGACTAAGTTAATACAACAAAAGAAATCTACGAGTAACTTATGCATTAAGAACCGTGTTTTATAGATACTAATGAAGCCTGACTTATTTATATGATATTTAATTCAGTCACTTGATCTCAGACGAGTTTAAATTTTTGCTATACGTTTCAACAGTCGATAACAGTTTTCTAAAAAATGTGATTAAAATTAAAAGAACCGATAATTATCGGTTTAAGCTTTTAACTGTGCTTTGCCACATGTGATATTTTCGCTTTTATTTTTCTTATTATTCTGAGATACAAAAGTAAAAGTGCAATCTATACACAGCCATAAATTTACTGTAGACATAGCCAGCAAAGAACTTCAGGGAAGAAGGGGATATGATTTGCTAGAAAGCGGAAAACGCAGTTCTTTTATTACTCTCCTAACTATTGCTCCGTAATCTTCAAGCAATTTACTTCTCGTATGAACTAAGATTATAGGAAAAGGATGAATGTACTGACGAAACACTGTCAAATTTATGGCGTGCTGTAGTTTATAAAGATTTTGTAAAATAATCTAATATTATCGAGTACACTCCGCAATATAAAGAAGAGATACAGCAGCATTTTAATGCAAATACATGATTAAAAATGAATAAAACATTCAGTGCTTGGAAATAACGGAAGTTAAATTATATATTACTTTACATTTACCAATTTAACTTTCAAATTTAAATTGTAAACGATGTGTTCAAAAAATAGACTGACGGGTGACAAATTTGTTACATATTGAATGAAGAAACCGTCTTTTATAAAAACTGAGAACTTTAGAATAATAGGTTAAAAGCTATTTTCTCTACAATCAAACTGCTCCTCATACTGTAAGGGGTTACTCAAACTGTAGGGGGAGCTAATAATACTTAATAAAAGGAAATTCCTAGAATGATATTCGAAAAAATCTTCTCATTTTTATGGCAAAAGCTTTATAAGAATTCAGCTTCGACTGCAAATAACTTGTAAATTAAAAGAAGACTTCTTTTACACAATTTAAAGTTCTTAAATTGGCACAAAATTTAGATAAGATGTTTCATTGATGACACTATTACATCCAATAAAATATTGAAAATGTATTTTGAAAAAATCCGCATTTGTTTGAAACAATACTCGTTTCATATATTAATCGACAGATAACGTAATTTGACGTACAACAAGAAATCTTTGCTTATTTTGTAAGCTAATTCAGCTGGATAATTACTGATTGTGGAACATTTTCAACGGTTAACTGCCTTACATTTGTAGAGACGCCGGGAATCGAGCCACGGACCTCTGAAATACGGGCTCAGTGTGCTGACCACTACACCACGAAGGCACGCTAGGAAAGCGGGAGAAATACCTTGTAAGATTCTTACTAGTGTAAATCTCAGTTACTTCAGAAAGTGACGAATCTTAAGAACTAGTTAGCGAATAATCGCTTAAGTTCGTATGACAAGAAACAACAAGATGGAAGGGTAACTAACCCTTTATTATTTCAATAAGATTTAACAAAACGCCGTCTTGGAGTGTACAATCAAAGCCGACACTTGGGCTTGAACTTAAGAGACTAAAAAATTAAACTAAAACTAAGATTAACTAAAGAAATATAGCCGAAGCAATCAAGATTCTGGATTAGTTGGCCCCTTAACTCTATTTGACTACAAGGGCCTGAGTACGGCCGGGCGTAATAAGAGCCTTGAGAGAGAGACAGAGTGGCCAAAAAACAGACGCGCGTAAATCAGAAACTCTGATTCTCTCTCGCTAAGACCAAACAACTTCGCGGTTAAATACCGCTCTTCCTCATTATGTATTCAGACGTGATTCTAAAACTACGTTCTGGCCGGAAGTAGTAAGTTGAAGTTAAGAATTTGACAGGAAAGGAACTTTAACCTAAAATTTAACTGTTAATAAAATTAACATAATCCTTACAACCTTATACATTTATTACCTACATTACAGAAAATATAAAGACGATTATATTATTACTTTTTCCCGACAATTTTTCATTTGCTAAAAAATGTCTTCATTAGCTTGATTTTGTTAAAGAATAATGAAGCAAAGCAAGGTTTAGCTGCGCTTTTAAATTTTCCGTACGGCAAAACCAATGTAGATTTGAAAGGGGCGGACAGATAGTTTAAAAGACTTTTCTGTTTTCAGATATGAGTTTTGAAACAAAATTAGGCGTAATAATGCTAGCATATAAATTGGCCATTATATTCTCTCATGGCTGTTTAACTGTGAACATGTCGTTATCGCTATAAATATATTTTTAATTAGATATCTATGAATGTTCATAAAATGGTAAGCAATTAATGCATTATATACGTATGTATATATATAGAGAGAGAGAAAAAGAGTCAGAGAGAGTGAATTCCATACGAAAATGGTGTACTTTCGTTTATGCTTTTGTAAAAATGTTATGAAATATTCAAATACACATAATGAAGAATAAACAGAAATGTTATTTTTTTTTAATTATTAGAAAGTAACTTACACCATTCACTTGACTTAACTTTTGACCGTATTGCGTATACGTAAATTTTGATAAATTACTATTAGCTTAATTTTTCACTTTTAATGCCCTTGCTTGTAATATCAATAACTTCGCAACATACCTTGGCGCGGAGGTAACACACTCAAGTAAAATATTTAGCTTGTGGGCCCACCAGCGGCCGAGCGGTAAAGTCGCTGAACACTGGCAGTTCGGTCCGAGGTTCGAATCCCGCGAACGGGCTGGCTGCATGGGTGTTTTTGGTTTTCCCCATGTGTAACGTGTATACGAGCCAGTTCCCCTTAGAAAGTCCTCCACGAAGGCATCCCTCCTCTTAGGCAGATAACCCTAGTGTGCTTTGCAATAATTAAATACACCACTACACACCACACCAATAACTTCGCCTGCCTTCAGAAATATGTCATAGCAAATGCCTAATATATTGCTCACATCTTTACTAAAAACGGATGAAATCGCCTCGTTCTATATTATTGAAAATTACATATTCGCTGGCATAGGCATGAAACGTTTTACATTGCATTACTGACTTCTTTGGTTTAGTTACAGTTTGAGTTCTGTATTCTCTCAGTTGACACAAAGACATGTTTTGAATATTTAGTGCAGAACATAATCATCGATAAGTTTCCTTAGAAACATAGTTTCAGAAAATAAATATAATAGATACTTTTTTGAATGTCTTGCTTACCAATTACATTTCATACAAAACGATTAACTAAAACTATGCAAAACAGACACTACCTCCTGTAAGAAAAGGAAAATCACATGAAAAAAATTACTGACTCAAATAGGCGTACATTACTGAATCCTGATTATACTGCTTGATAAATTTATATTTCCAACACATAACACGAAACGATTCTCAAAAGGTTGTAAAAAATCTGCTTTAAAGTTAAGTACTAAATTAAACTATTATTCGTAAGAATTGGATTTAATATAACGGCAGTAACAGTCCCTGATAAAATAAAAGACGAAAGTATCCGGTCGCTGAATATGACAAAAATTGTGCACTTAAATTAGCGATGAGACATTTCAGAAAATTACGTTAAAGTATACCATTGCAAATCTCTTGATGGGAAAATAATTGACACTTTACGATATGTGTATCCTCGAAATTATTTCGAAGAATTCCATTTGCTTTAAAGGAAAAGATCTTTTTACATATAGTAAGAGAAAAACCTATATTTTTCTAAAGCAAAACCACAGCATTTCTTTAGCAACATGCCGTTGTTTTTTTTTTCATATATGGGTACTTAATTTAATTACTGAATACCGAATTTAAAAATATAAAACTACCTCTGTCTTTTGACAAATACTAAACTTTTCCCTTTGCCATGCAAAAAGAAAATTTCAAAAATAGGAACCTGCCACTGAACAATTTTCAATTTCGTTCGTTAAAATTCTCTTAAACAATCAAAATGAACTCTTCAAACATTTAATTTAATTAATTTATGAAGAAAACATACAGTTTTTTCCATAATTTTTATAAGCTGAGGACATGCTTTTAAATCATTTTAAAACATACACATTTTTCAGCTTTCTCAATAATTATCTTTTTTAAATTCAGTAATAAATTAAGATATAGTCTTTCATGGAACAAACAAAGCAATATTCTATCTATACAAATTATTGCTGCAAGAAAAAAGCAGTTTACGAAGCAAAAATCAATTATGCACGTACACAGAATTTTATTTGTGACTTGGGATTCTATTTCGGGCATTTTAAATACGTGTTAATTCTCCTATTTGCTTGCTCGAAATCAACAGTACAACCGATCTGTATTTTAATGGAAGAATATTTGTTCCCACCAATATTTTTAAATTATGAAAGATACACAAGCAGTGGGCTAAACTAACTTGCATTAATAATCCATTTTTATTTTGCATAGTTACTGAAATAAAAGGAAATTTTAGAGTTACTTAACTGAAAAGAAAATGATTCCCATTCTGATTGAAATACATGAAATTATTTAATCATTTTAATTCTGAACACATACTAAATATCTTTTAGTACTTCAGTAACTTTTACAACGATGCACATATGTCTAAAGCGACGACCAAACATCGTATCGAGAAAACCGAAAATGCATGCGTTTTGCATATGTCTTCTTTACAGTTCCACATAAATTTTAGTTAATTTGTTAAGGGTTATCAGAAACCCCTATACCGACAATGTTAATTGGCCATTTTCGATGTACCTTTTCTCAAAATCTGCTGTAGATACACGCTTGAAATGTTTTGTGTAATTAAAGCATACCTATCTGATTATAGAGAAATGAGCTTTTGAAACATTTTGAATTTTAGAGTAATTTACAGAATATTTTGTTAGGCATAGTAAAATTTAGCACTTTTCTCACACAAAAAACTTTTTAAAATTTTTTATTATAAGTTTATCACAAAAAGCTCATTTCAGTAAATATTAGGAAACCTAATAAATAAGCCATAAAAATTTT